CTGATGCCATAGTGCCACCAGAGCCGGAAGAGGTTGAGCAGGTACCAGTCGGTCTCCTCCAGGACGAAGTGCTCCCCGCTGAATATGGCACTCTTCCCAGCCACCTCGCGCCGGTGCTTGAGGCCTGCCAGGAGCAGAGGGACCCCGGCCCCACTGGGCTCGCACAGCTCCCTGGGGCTGGCTGGCTGCTGGGAAAGGCCAGTGCCCAACACCTCCACAGCAGGGATATGGACAAAGATGCTCTTGGAGGAGCATCAGGGAGTGCGAGACCCCAGGGCATTGGGACCCCAGACGGATCCTGTACATTAGAGGGTCCCATGGAGTTGCTGCTACCTACTGGGACAAACTGGTGGGATTTTTTGAACAACCCCCTCCACACTAATTCCACCAGACCCCTCACCCTGATGGTCTGCTGGGCCACCTGATCCTTTTCTCCTCAGGGCACAACAGGGCTGGGGTGCACGGACAGCAAGGGGATCACTGCATGCCTGGGGTGCTGGGGGGGACTGGCAGAAACCCTCCCCACTGCCCCAAGCACAGAGCCCAGGGGTCCTGCAGCCCCCCAGCTCAGGGAGGCCACGCAAGTGCTGGGATGCCCATGCTCACCCAGGATCTTGACGAAGTCCTGCATGTGGAGGCTGAGGGCGTGGATGGAGGCTCCCCGGCTCTCATACTGCTGCTTGTTGACGGTGACGGTGGCCAGCCTTCCGCCCACGCCCGCCGCCTCGTACACGTCCAGCTGCACCTGCGGCCGAAGTGCTGCCTGCAGGAAGTAAGCGGCGCGAGCCCCCCAGCCCGGCGCCCCACCACGGCTTGCGGGCAGAGAGCGGGAAGGGGCCGGTCAAGCAGGCCCCGGGGACCCGCCGCTGGCCCCGCCTGCTCTCCGCTCTGGGGGGATAGGGACAAGCACGCCTGCGAGGGGGGGATGCCGCTGGGTAATGCGCTGGCATGCAGCGGGACAGGATGCTCTTTGGACAGGGAGCAGGGCAAGCGCGCCCCGTTTCTTAGGTGGCGGAACCCCCTCTCCCGGCCTCCGGCGGGAGGCATGCGGGCAGAGGTGGGCCCGGGTGTGGGGTTTGCTGCTGCCGGGTGCCGCGGCCGGGGCGCCCCCCTCCCCACCCCGTCGCCATTGCCCCGCTTTCCCCTCTGTTACCGATGGATCTCGGCCGGCCTTTTGCGGCGCGGCCAGGGAGCGCGCCAGGAGCGCGGCCAGGGCCGGCAGGAGCATCTGGCGGGCGGCGGGGCCATGTTCGCGATAAGCGGGTTGCCCGGCAGGCCCGCCCCGGCCCGCCCTCACCGTGGCCCCCGCGGCCTTTATTCTCTCACGGTTGAGCCCGGATTCGGCCCGGAGCCCGGCCTCCGGCCGCCGGGGAGCGGGCGGTCTCTGTGCCAGGAGGGGGGTGCGGTGTCCCCGCGGCCTTTGTTTACTAATCCCCCCGGCAGACCGGCACTGAGGGGCAGAGAGGACCCTCGCATCCCAAACCGCCTGTTGTGGCACACGGATAACCCCAGGCACAGCCGCGGCGAGCATCCTCCCTTCCCTACGCTCCGGGATGCTCGGCAGCGTCCCGCTCGCCATCGAGGGCCCAAGCCCAGGAGCTGCCCCGGCACCACCTCTCTCCTGATGCCGGTGTGCTGGGCATGCACCATAGGGCAGTGTTTAGGCAACGCTGCTGCCGGAGCACGTTTTCCATGTGCTCCATCTGCACATGGACGATGCATACAGTTCTCAGTACCCGGAGCAGGCTGGAGCCTGCATGGCTCATGCATCAGCAAGGGCATTTCAAGCTTTTGCTTGTACTTTCTGCCCTGGGCAAAACAAGGAGCCTGACAGCAAGCAGTTTGTGCCAAGGGGATCCCACGGGAGCTTGCTGCTACTCAGATTTCAAAGGATAGCAAAGGCTGAGCAAAAACTCCAGAACAGGTTGGACATGTAATCACAAACCCAGAGCCTACTGTAACCCAGAATTGGCTCCCTGCTAAGGAACAAAATTTTGTTTGAGAATACACCACCTGAACTTTGTCTCAGGAAAACACAACACAAGCACAGGTCCCCTCTTTTCCCCAGCCAGGAACCACTTCAGAGTTCCTGCATGGGGGAACACATACAACCCTGAAACTCGGGCATGAACATTTTGGGGGAGCAGAGACAGAAACTACCATTGCTCAGCTCACCTGAGTCATTACAACTGGCAGAACTGACCCACCAGGATGGGGAGATGATGCTCCCAAAGCAGCTTAAAACGCAACACACAAATATCTTTGCAGCATGCCTCAGGTTTTAACAAGCTCTTACTTAAGCAGCCTGATTTCACCATGGCTGTGGGCGACAAGAAATCTGCTGTGCACACAGCAGGGCTCTGAGGAGCCGGGTCAGCACTGCTCCCAATCCCCTCCCTCTCATGGCAGCCCATGCCCTGCTTGCAGGCGTTCTGGAATACTGTGCCATAAGCAAAATGCTCTGCCCCTCGCTCACAAGCTGTGATGCTTTTCTGCAGATGGCAGTGGTTGCGGTTTGAGAACTCCCAACTCTCACTTGCTGCAGACAAAAACCAGCAGAGCCAGAAATTACCTAACGCAGCAGCAGGATTTCCTGGTCTAGTCTGGTTGCAACAAGCAATGCCATCATGGAGAACACTGAGTATTTCAGGCAGAATGAAGAAAAGACCCTATAATGGGACATCACCTCTGCATCACATCTGACTTTGCTGGCACAGAAATATAGATCTCACCTTGTAAAGGCCATTTTTAAATGGCCTTTTGCAGATGCTTTTGTACTAGTGAGAAGTGCCCAGGGGCATTCAGAGCTCTGGGAGAACAAGACCCACCCACATGGCACCAACTTTCAAGGCAAAGCCAGGAACTGAGGCCCAGCTATTTTGCAGAGGATGTAGGAAGGGAGAATGAGATCTGTTACACCCTACAGAGAAAGCCTCTTCTTTTCTTCAACAAATCCCCCCAGAGAGAGGCTCTTCATTGGGAACTATAGTGAGTAATGGCTTCAAACTGAGAGTAGGCTTAGATTAGATATTATAAAGAAATTCTTGGTTGTGAGGGTGGTGAGGCCCTGGCACAGGTTGCCCAGAGAAGCTGTGGTTGTCCCATCCCTGGAAGTGTCAGTCTGGACAGGGCTTGGAGCAACCTGCTCTAGTGGAAGGTGTCCCTGAACATGGTGGTGGGGGTGGAAGGAGATGATCTTTAAGGTCCCTTCCAACCCAAACCATTCTATGATTCTAAGTGCTGCCATGGACCACAGCCCTTATCACAACTGGATCAGGAATAGAGAGAAACCTTCCAATGTGCAGCCCCAGATGGCTGGAGTTGGAACTAGCAGCAGTTTGGGACAGGGAAAAAGGAAAGAGAAGCAACTGCAATTCCTTTGTTTTATTTGCAAATGGACAGTATCTGGACATCTAAAGGAAATCAGCCCTTTCCAACATTAACTCAAATGTTGTTGTCAACTACTTGCACCTCTCCCACATGTCGGTCTCTGTCTTTCATACAGCCAGAACCTTTGGCTAAAAAAGAGAGCACAGAAATACACAAAAAAATTACAATATTTACAGGTTTCCCACCAACTAAATGGATTTGGATTTTTGGAGATTAGCAACGCTTTGTTCATTTGACTTTGCAAGTAATATCGAAACACCTAAAGTTTTAAAATAAAAAAATACTACAATATTCACAATATAAAACTTAAATACTTTTTTTTTTTTTAATTAAGGGACTGCTAATAGCTATTGACTGATCACAGCTCTTTCAACAGAAGCTCTGCTGCTGAAGCACTGAGAAGTCAAGGTTCACAAAGTGACATTCACATTCTGCACTGCTTCTGGTCAGTTGAGACATTGCCATGATCATGACAGTGGCGCTGGAGACTTGTCCAGGGGATCCACTCAAACAGGTCCTGCCAACAGGGCATGGCAAGGCCACAGAAGGTGGCAAATGCCCATGTTCAGGGTGGCTGCCCACTTCCCAAGGGTGGAAATGCAGGTCCACACACCACCACATCTTGTCTAGTAGTCTGCATTCCCAGCTCCAGCTCTTCGTGGCTGGGCAAACTGAGCAGAAATTACTAAGAAGAACATGACACTTTCTCTCCTCTGATATTCCCTCCCTGCTAATGTATTCCTGTGTTTTATTAAACAGTCAGTCATTGGATAAAGTGACTGGAGAGAAGCAGCTCATGCGTCAATCTCCTCTCTGCAAGAGTTACACAAACAGGGCAGACAAGGCAGCAACGACCTACAGAGCAGAAATTCTTACACCCACTCTTACACAATCTCATCCATGACAGAAGAGATCATTAAGTGTGCTTGAAAGGCAAGAGAATCAAATTTTGCCTAGGAAATCTGGATTCTGTGATGGAATCCGGGTTTGGTTATTTCATTTTCACTTCACCATCCAAAGGAAGCAGAAACTAGGACCAATAACAGCTACAGGATTTATCTCTTTGGTAATATCTCTGAAAGAGTCTCTCAGCAATGGGTACATTTCATGGGAATCATAAAAGCCTGATAGGATCCTGTAGAAGTTCCAGAGGTTCAACTGGGAAAATAGCTTGCCCAAAATTAAACAGGGCTTCTGTGAGGGTGGGAAAGACTGCACAGGAACTGGATCCCTCAGATGCCTGCTCCACCCCACAACAGTGCCTCGGTGAAAGTGGATCCCAGATATACAAGCTGAATCAATATCCTCTTAGTACAGACAGAAGGTCTGGAGTGCATTTTAGGATATTTCTTTAAGGCAAAAATGGATGGGTACTGGCTGAGGAGACAGGCAGGACTTGCAAACAGTCCCATGTTGGACAGAGTAGCTGCAGAATAATTTCAGAGTCTAGTGGCTTCATGGATGAGTTTAAGGAAGATTTGGATCCCATCACTTCTGGTCACACACTACTTTTAAATCTGGCTCAGGTAAGCTGCAGCCTTTCTATGACTGAAACCTACCTGTTGTGTAAAATGCCTTTGTTTTGTTTGGTTCCTTATAACTAAAGTTTCCTCAGAACAGGCTGGAGACAGTTTTGAGAGAGAAAAGCAAGACTTGCATTGCCACATTTCATATTTTTTCTATGCTTTTCTGGAGAAATAGCGTACCCTGTTGACCTGGTCAGCACAGACACCAGCAAAACAATGAACAGGAAGTTCTGTTTATCTCTGAAATTCCCAACAATGTGTTAAAACAAGAAGCTAGTTCAAAGTGAGCTAATGCTGCCAGGAAGCAGTTTCAGGGTTGAAATCTCAAGTATCACCCTGAGAACATACTATGCAGAGGCAGAAACCCACACTCCAAAAGGTATCCACTACCAAGTCACTCCACACTTGGCACTAAAACAGGCTGCATGGAGCACGTTAGAAATGTGCATCTTCCTTAAATTTCTGGAATGACAACCCACTAGCTGTACACAGTCTCCTAGATGAAAGACTGTTGATAGCTGCAGTAATCTTGAAGTCCACCACAAAAGGGTTTTGCAACCAAAGCCTGCAAAGAATGGGAGAAGAACAAGCTTTCTTCCAAACCAGTGATGGCATCCACTATAAATAAAGCTTTTTTGGAAGTGGATCTGTCGGGCCATGGATCCAATTCCAAAAAGTCAAAAGGCAGCAATTAACAAATCAGGCAGAAACAACCTGAAAACCACCATTCCTGGTTTTGTGTAGTGCAGACCATAGCTGGCTCATCTGTTCTTCTGTCATTTGACTGCTGGCTGCTCTGCAAAGGGTTAAAACTCTGATCTTCCTCAGTGACTGCATCCTTTCAGCTGAGACAAATGGACTCCCAGGCAATAGGGCCACTGGGAAATACATATGCTGTGACAACAACGTGCCTCCAACTAAGAGGACAGCTCGAGGTCAGCTTTCGCTTCCTCAGCCTTCTGCTTCTCTTGCTTCCTTGTCACCGCTGCTAAAATTGGTTCAAGGGCACTTGAGACTTTTAGCAGAGAAGATTTTCCTCCTGGCACCAAAACCCAAAAGGTTTAATATTTACTGTGACCAAGCAAAAGTAGAATCTGAATGGAAGTTAGAATCTAACTGGAAGTTAGTGTTATCTGAGGATCATTACTGGAGAGCTGAGAAAATAGAGCAGTCCAGATTTCCTGCTTAAGGGCACATCTCCATTTTGCCAGCAGCTGCAACAAAGAGCACATAGTTTATCATGCTTGAAAGCTGCACAAATACCCATCAGGGAAGAGAAATTACTCTCCTCTAAAATATACATTTTGGTTGGAGAATAAGAGATTTGAGAACAGTTTTTTGCCCCCACCACAAATCACTATTCCCTGTTTTACTTTTGGGCAAGGAGGCAAGGTGAAATTTTACCTGGAGAAGAAATACTAACACGTTAGTCTGACCTAACAACAGAATTCTCTTTAAACACTCATCTCTATTCAACTGCTGTACGACAGAGATTCCATGAATTCAGGATTGTTTTCCTGAAGCGACATAAGAAAAAGCTGCCCCTAAATGTCATTTCAAGTGATCATCTTCATCCCCATCCGAGGGGCCTGGGGACAAGGGAAGACACCAAAACCAGCTGATAATAATACTCGTCCCTTTGGACTTTTCCAAGTGCTTTACAAAGGAAAAGCCTCACCACATCCCTGTGAGGTAGGTCAGTAAGTATTATTATAGTCCCTTAATATAGCTATGGGAACCAAGGCAGAGAAGTTACTTCCCTGAAGGCCACTGTAGGAGTCTGTCTCAGAGATGGAGCCGGGAGACAAGATTCCTTAGCTCTCAGGGAATTTCCCTTTCTCTCCCATATCTCTTCCCCATACAAATCTTAATGGAGAAATGAGCAAAGGAGAAAGGGTCTACAGTGCCACGTTTCTGACAAATACTAGGACTCCTCCTACTACTCCATGGACCCCAGAAAGTATTATTAAATACACAAGTACCTTCCAATCAATGGCAAAACGACCGCACACACTATCAAGAAGCCATCGTACGATACAAACCTAGCTCAATAAATAAGTAAATACATGCAGCTGCAGCTCCGAGTGTTGGGGGTGGTCCCCAGCTCAGGAAGGTCCCAGATGGCAGTGGGGGAGCCCAGGTCACTCCTGTGACTCCACCGCCACGCCGACGAGCGCGTGTCTGATGGTGCGGCCGTGGAGTTTGTAGCCGTCCTGCGTCACCAACGCGATCGTGCCCGGCTGCATCCCCTCGGCCGGGACGTGGCAGACGATCTCGTGGTCGTAGGGGTCATATCTGCCACCAACAGGGTTCATCTTCTGAAGGCCGTGCTTGGCAAACACGCTTTGCAACTTGGCCTCTATGAGGGAGAGGCCTTCGTAGATCTTCTTCAGGGCTGGGTTTGGGTTACTGGGCTCCGCTTCTCCCGCGGCGCTCTCGGCGGTCTTCTCCAAGATATCTGCTACCTCCACGAGGTCCCTGCAGAAACTCTGGATCCCTACGGGCACAAAGAAGCACTAAGTAAATGGAGGACAGTTTACAGAACACACAGAGCTACAGTACCAATGACAGACATAAAGTCACAGCAGTTGGAAAGCATCTCTAAAGCTGTTAATTGATTTGAACTGTTAATTTAGTGAGAGCAGACGGTGTCTTCTGTAACCAAAGCTTTAACATTAATAGTAATCTAAAGACTCTCCAAATCAAGACATATGCAGGAAATGTACACCTATACATATTAACATACAGATATCTATATGTCAGGTATTCCTAACAAAGCAGAAAATTAGTATTTCACTCCAAACAGTTTTTTGCAACTAACGCTTGTCATTTAGGACCCTGCTCTACACCCTCTCATACAGTCCCACTGACTTCACTGTTTTGCCAAGCAGCTCACACAAATGCCACGGGGAACAAACACAATGTGGGGAAGTAAAAACAATAAATGTCTATTCAAAAGTACATCCCCAATTTTATTTATAAGTTAAAAGCACTGTGGCTCAAAAAACCCCTCTCAATATCAATTATCCCACCGATTATGCCAAACTCATGAGCCATTTTGTAGCTCCACCGGTAGAAGGTAAGAAAATACAGCAGCTCTAATTTCAAGGCTACTAGAGTTAACTACCAATAAACCCCATGAGAGTCATGCATTATGGAGAAAAACAGTTTCTCATTCTCAGAGATGGTCCTGACAGAGTCCAGTGATTAAACAGAACCTTTTACCCCTTCACCTGCCTCTGTTGCCAAAGCCACAAATTCAGCTCATTTCACCAACAATAAAATACTTCTTTTAGAAATTTTAAATATTTGATACAGGGATTGACAATTGTTGTCCCAGGCAGGATCTACCTCCCAAAAGCTAGAGCAGAAGGGAAGAGGCTGTTAATATAGCAAAGGAGATCACAACCTGATGACACAGCTGAGTATGAAACACACCCTGCTGGAGCCAATCCTCAGCATACAGCCGAGCCTGTAATTTCAACCAAGTCAGCAAAACTACACTCAGCTGCACTGGGCCTATTTTTTTTTTAAATAGTCACAAAACAGACCCTGAGGTAAACCTGATAGACAGGACACAGCTGGACATACAGAGAGAATAGCGAGTAAGCCCAGACACCAAGAGCCCAGGCCTAACGTCATGCCAGACTTCACAATGAACAAAGGAGAGCAGGACTGGGGGAGAGAAAAGCTGTTGATCAGCAATTTATGCTCAGGCAGGCAGGCCACCGCAGTAAACACAGCTCTTTTGCTTACCAAAGAGCTTGGCATCTTCCACAAACTTCTGTGTTCTCCTCCGGACATTCTCGGAATCTGCCAAAGCTTTCCGGTATCGCTCCTGTAACCACAACAGCAAGGGGAGACATCAAACAAGGAAGTAAAACCCATTTCCTGACAGTGGTGAACCCCTCAGAAATGCTTTAAAAAGAGCCCTCTTCACATCAGAAGGTTGTGCCAGGCTCCTGCATTTTTATAACATGCAAAACCAAGTCCTTCTACTGATTAACCAAAACCTTCAACTCCCTCAAAAGATGCAGGCGAAGGCCAGAAGTATTCTGGGCACTGAATGACTGAATTCAACTGAACATCAGCTCTCAGGTTGCTGCTTTTTTTGTGACTCACTGTGGCTATTGAGACACCTTTTTCTGCAGCAGGCAGCTGATGGTCTCAGCCACAGATCGGTGACCACATGATTTATCACTCAGTGCAGGATTCTCAGGGTGATTATGTCAAGAATTGCCCAGTGAAGCAGTATTTAATTCTCTCCTTAGTCACATGTGCTCTTCAATACATAATGTGATCCCTACTATTTCCCTCACATCACTGTCACTGAAAAGGACATTCCTTCTTGGACAATCTGGACCCAGTGGGACACAAAGCTGTTAGAGAGCATCCAAAGGAGGGACATGAAAATGGTGAAGGGTATAGAGGGGCCACGTGAGGAGCAGTTGAGGGCACTTGGCTTGTTCAGTTGGAGGAGACTGAGGTCAGACCTCACCAGGGTTTGCAGCTTCCTCACGAAGGGCAGCTCCGATCTCTGCTCCCTGTGACCCACGACAGGAGCTGAGGGAGAGGCTGGAGCTATATCAGGGCAGAGTTAGGTTGGATATTAGGAAAAGGTTCTTCCCCCAAAGGGTGGTTGGGCACTGCACAGGCTCCCCAGGGCAGTGGTCACGACCCCAAAGCTGACAGAGCTCAAGGAATGTTTGGACAACATTCAGGCACACAGTGGGATTGTTGGGGTGTCCTGTGCCAGGAGTGGGACTTGGATGATTCCTGTGGGTCCCTTCCAACCAATTCTGTGGTTCTATGACAATACACGATCCTGATCAGCACAAAAGTACTGCCACTGGCTCTGTACAATGCTGTGAAAGAACTGACCAGACCAGCTCCAACACACAGCTTTGCCTGCCAGGATTGTGCTATCAGTGTCCTGCTGCTGGTACTACTGACAGATGGTGTTTTGGGGGAATGCAGACTGGAGTTTCCCCCTCTCACACTCAGAGCACAGCTGCCCTGAAGGCTGTCACAGCACAGCAACACTGTTTGTGTGTGTTACAGCATTTATGGAGAAGTCCAGGGCTGAAAGACAGACCAAGTCAAGGGGACTGAACCAAAGACATCATGGTGCCACCAGCACCACACTCACAGTCAAATCTCGGACTTGTTCTTCCAATTTGATGGCTTTGTGCTCCAAGGCACAGTCAGAAAGGGGATGCTTGGGCTCGTCATGGGGATCTTCTGGGCCACACTCATCTCCTGTACTTCTCTGCTGAGCTGCAGTGCTGAAAACACAGGGGGACCCTCTGAAATGCAAACTAGTGACAAAGAAGGAAAGTTAATATCATCAGGGTCATTGAGAATTCTAGTTTAGTGCTGGTACTAAAAACAGGCTCCCTTAAAGAAGATACATAGGATTCTAGACACAATTTTAGCTCTTTTCAGAAAATACAGACAATTAGCAAAGAAACACAAAGCAGACTGGTGTTTTTAAATTCTTTTATTTTAGACTCACATGGCACTACAGAGGCTGTACACCACTTCTCTGGCATACCTTGAAAAGAGTCAGATTCTCACAGAATCACAGAATCACTGAGGTTGGAAAAGACCTCCAAGGTCATCGAGTCCAACCTGTGACTGATTTCCACCTTGTCAACCAGACCAGAGCACTGAGTGCCACATCCAGTCATTCCTTGAACACCTTCAGGGATGGAGACTCCACCACCTCTCTGATCTTTTTCAAACTAAATGATTCCGTGATTCCTTGATTCTGTTTCACTCTCCCTCCTACTGCACTTGCTTTTACAAACTGACCTAGACAGGGCCCATTCCTGCCAGCATGAGGCCAAAGCCTCAGCCACGCCTCCCTCTCACACCTTACACCAGGAGGAGTCTGCAGAACAAAGTACAATTTACTGCCAAACCACCTCCACTCAGGAAACATTTCAGCATACATATTACAAGGGTGTCTCCTTTTTTGGGAACACCTGGGCTCTTCCTCTCAGCAGGGCTTTCAACATCCTCTTTATGCAATGTCCTATAGCCCCTGTATGGAATGTTTTGCAAACATTAAGTGCACATCCAGTCTGTGAAATTCAGCAAAGCCCAGAAATCCCTGCACTGGTACTGACTCCACCCCTGTGGTTATACAGCACAATTCCACACCACACAGAGACACTAAGTGAGGTCCCAGAATCGATACAGCTGAGTTCACATTACCAGGCCTGTTCCATTAAGCTTTTTTTACATTTTAGCAAGGCTATATTGCTCATGTATGGTGTAACAGAAGTGCAGAGTTTATTTTGGGGTCTATCAAACCAGACAAGAGACCTCAGTGTTGTTCAGCAGTCCAGTTGAGCTTACAGTTTGCTCCTCTTATTCCAGTACTGGAGTTGAGCAGAATTAAGTTTCAGGGAGTTAAACCAGATGAAAACTAACCCTACAAACAAAAAGACTTTTCTCTCTGTGTCCCTGAATAGGTCTGCTGACAGATCAGATAGATGAGTGCAAGTGCCAGTACCAGAGGAGACAAACATGTGAAGCCTGGTGAGATGTGGGGAATGGATGAGGTGTCCCCCTTGGGGTGGCTGGCAGGTGGTTGAGATTCATCTATAGGACCAAAGCACAATTCAAGAGATCTGTATCTGCCCAAAGACCACCAAGTACCTCCTACCACCCAGTGTTTAGCAGCCCAGATGCTCCCTCATTTAATCCTTAACACCAGGTTGCTGAAAGTCCCACAACACTAATGACAAACTTCCTTCTCCCACCTGAAGACATTTGCATATGCATTTTTTATTAAGTGGGTACTTAAAATATGATCTGTATGTTAAACCGCTCACTCCTTTTCAACAAATTACATGCCAAATACAAGTTTGAAAGTGCTTCTGCTACTTACACTTGCTCTAGGATAGGACCTTCCTTAGATTAATCTTTAAAGAACCAGGTAAGGGGCTGTCCCTGGGCTCCTTTCAAAAAGCTGCCCAGCTATTGTGGGCTCCAGGAATGCTAACACAGGAAAAAAACCCCACATTTTATCCCTGGCTGCAGATAGATCTGTTTGGGGCACAAGACCCCATCTTGAATGATTTTTAAAATGCTTGTCAACTTACTTTGTTGACTGATTAACACAGCACTTTCTCAAATTTACAAAAAGTAGACTAGACTGGAGGGGAGGAGAGAGCAGGACACCCTTCACCAAGCCTTCAAAATCAATCTGTGAAGCTTTCTTTTCACATAAAGGTGTGTCCACGCTGAGCACCAACTACAAGCTTTGTCCTTTATCGTCTCACATTTCATTTAAAGAGCTGCAGGGAAGGAAATCAGCCACGCCACAGATGAACCAAGCAACCTGAAATGCAGCTGAGAAATCTTGCTGGGCCTCTCACAGATTAGACTCTGGTGTCTTAAAAATAGGCTGTGCAACTCAGTTAACTCTTTTGCACCCAAGAAGCAAAGGTTAGTGAGACATTTTCTTCCGTAAGAGAGTTACTCTACAGGAATGGGTGTGTTTTGGAGCGTAGGAGGAGAGGGGCATGGATGAGCCGGTGCCTCAGCTCCAGGGACTTGCCTACGTGGAGCAGGGAGCTCCCTGCATGGACTCCTCTCTCCAGCCTGTGAAACCAACTTAGAGAACACTCCCCCGTGCAGGGACGTGCCCCGGGTATCACATGCTGCTCAGATGAGCCTGCCTTAAAAGTTGCAGGCAAGAAACCAGAGCCACAGACTGCCTCCAAAGGGAGTTCCTAGGAAGGATTCTTATGGAGGACTGAAAATGCCACTCAATTTACTTCTTCCTTCAGGATGAAAAAAAACACTCCACAGAAAAGGGCAAGTGCTATTTACAGCCTGTCCACTGACTCTGCTCCATCTCCTAAACACTGTCTTGATCTCAGCTGCCCTAAAAGTAGGCAGAAATCCCACGGGAGGAAGTTGACACATCCTTAAGTGACAGACACGTGGAAGTCTGAAGGGGTTACACAAGTAAGCTGGTGATACCAAAAGATTTACAAAGGGATGTCACAGAAAGCCAAACAGATCAGATGTAGCAGAGAAGTTGATTGCAGCCATATGGTTTAAGCCACTTGGCCCTAAAGATTAGAATTTAAATGATGAGAACAGGTCTCTGGTCAGATATAAAATAGTATCACCTCTTTCTGGAGCACAGGCAGGATAGCGCCATTCCCGAACATCCCAAAGTGACTGTCATGCTCCCTCTAAACACAAGGGTCCTTCCCCACCCCTCCTAAAACACTCCTTCCTCCTCCCAAATCAGCATGACAAAGCACACAACTGCTGAGACACATAGAAACATCTGCATCAGTGTTTCTTCTCTGATGAGCTTGCTTTGGAAGGAAATCTAATTACTCCCAATTCCTTTGCTCTGTTTCATCAGGGAGTGATACCAGAGATTAACCCAGTCAAGCAGGGATTGTCCTGCTCTGCTCTGCACTGGGGTGGCCTCAGAGTCCTGGGGGCAGTTTTGGGCCCCACAAAGTAAGTAAGATCTAAAGCTGTTAGAGAGCGTCCAAAGGAGGGACATGAAGATGATGAATGGTCTCGAGGGGCCATATGAGGAGCAACTGAGGGTACTTGGCTTGTTCAGCTGGAGAAGAGGAGACTGAGGGGAGACCCCACCACGGTCTGCAGCTTCCTCATCTATCTCTGCTCTCTGTGACCCACGACAGGACCCAAGGGAACAGCTGGAGCTGTGTCAGGAAAGGGTTAGGTTGGATATCAGGAAAAGGTTCTTCCCCCAGAGGGTGGTTGGGCACTGAACAGGCTCCTCAGGGCAGTGGTCACGGCCCCAAAGCTGACAGAGCTCAAGGAGTGTTTGGGCAATGCTCTCAGGCACATGGTGGGATTGCTGGGGTGTCCTCTGCAGAGCCAGCAGTTGGACTCAATGATCCCTGTGGGTCCCTTGCAACTCAGGATATTCTCTGATTCTATAACACTATGTGGATTCTTCTTCAATGAAGCTGGTGAACAAGCTTGTGCAGTGCACCTCCACACAGGATGGCTGTAAATTGGGCAGGAGGTTCCCTAAGCCAGCCTAAGCAAGTCCAGGGTAAGGAGTCCCAGGTTGGGAGCCTGGGCCCCATCACCCCTGCCTTGCTCACAGAGCTGTTCCCATTGGGAGCGACCCAGGCAGGGCCACAAAAAATTTTGTGTACAAAGAGAAGCTTCACACCAACAGCACGTCCCAGGATCCTCCACAACAGAAGCCTGCTGAGCTCCATCAGTCACCTATTTCACACTCAGTGCACATTTTAGGAGGGGCAAAGCAGTTTTCACACATATGACGGAACACGAAAGAGGAAGAATTTTCTGACACACATTTTTCCATTTAGCCCCAAACACATTTACTTCCATTACATGCTGCAGAATTATTTTATTGCATTTAAATGGTCTTTTGGTGGTGTTTCTTTTCTGGAGAAAAAAAAAATCTAATAAGCATTTTGACTTTCTTTCTTTTTGCCTGTCCACATTTCACCCAAATACCCAAGGCACCTTTATGAATTTCCCTCTAATAAGCCATATACCACGATTTCCAAAAACATGACCGGGCACTGTTTTTCTGCCTAAATATTGACACAATTAAATGGATTCTCTTCCTGTGACCACCCAAAACACGTTGATAGCACCGGTGCTGCCTCACCACCGAAAATAAAAACCAGGGAGCGCATTAAACATGTAGTTCACGAATAAATGGTTCAGATGGGCGAGACACAGAAACCACGCGCAGTGGCAGGAAACCACCACACAACGTGACTCACCGAGCACGGAAACCCTCTCCCATAGAAATTAATTTTTTTTTTACTCAAAAAGTCATATTTTTACAGGAAAGGACTCGGTTATTGGAGCCTAATTTTACTCCAGGCCCTGCTG